CGCCAGGCCTCGGCCCACGTGGCAAGGGGTTGGGTTGGTTCGAGCGACGGGCAGCCATGCGGGGACCCAATGCTCGTGAAATTGGGTTTTATTTTTCTCGCTATAACAGCGGTGAGTTGTGCGGGCGCTAATTGAACGGGCCCGGGGTTCACAACAGTATTTACCACAAACACAATGCCATCGGCACCCGGAAGTGAAAGGGGTACTTGGAGGCACAAAAGAGGCTGCTTGGGGGGTGGTCCGGCGATAGCGCGACTTTGCCCCCTCCTCTTCCTGTCCCGCAGATCAGGTTGATGCCGGAGGCGCCGGGTCCAGCACTACCTTGTGCCGGGGTCTTTGGCGCTTAGGGAATGGGTAGCGTCTAGCCGAGCGGGAGCGATGCAGGGGCTCAGGCTTAGGGACCGGCGGTGCAGCTGACGAGGCGGGCTTCGCGGGCTGCTGAGTCGGCGCCATCTTGGGGCGACTGGCGGCAGCCACAGAGCTGGAGCGTTTTGGCAAGAAGTGTCGCATTGCCTGGGACAACTTCTGTGCAGCAGTGAAGCGTTCTGCGAACCCTTCGACCGCAGGTCCAAACAGGCCAGAGGGGGAGACCGGAGAGTCAAGGAAGGGGACTTTATCCGCATCCTTGATCTCTGTGAGGGTCAACCATAGGTGGCGCTCAAGCACCACAAGGCTGGCCATGGATCTGCCGATCGCCTGAGCTGTCATCTTTGTGGCGCGTAAAGCCAGGTCGGTCACGCTGCATAGCTCTTTGAAAGCTGCGGGGTCCGGTCCAGAAGTTTGGCCTGAAGGACCTGGAGGACCGCCATGGAGTGAAGCGCCGAGTCCGCTTGTCCAGCAGACGAGTAGGCCCTTCCAGCGAGCACTGAAGTAGTCCTGCACGGCTTGGACGGGTGGGCAGCCTTTGCCTTCCAGCCGATGACCGTGAGGATGTCGCAGACGAAGAGCCCGTATTGAGCCCATATTGAGCCCATATTGGCGGGCTCTGGCGGTCTGTGCCGCCATAGGCTCGTGCAGCTCCGCTGCTGAGCCATTGGTTCATTTTTAATACACTGCACGAACCAATGGCCGTGCAGTTACACTGCATGATTGAAAAAGGCTTCAGTATTCTGAGAAAAATGAGTTTTCCCCATAGCGTCTTAAGCAAGACGCAGTACGAGTGAAGTATCGATAGGGAACAGTATTGTTCATGCGCTTGACCTCTATTACCATCTATCACTTTATCAGCAATTCATTTTCATTGAGAGTGATTTCATTGGAAAACCGCAGATAGAGAAATTGAGACCATGTCTGGACACCAATATTCTATGAAAAAATAAATAAATAAAATATCCACTTTTCTGTAAGCTCAAATCTTACAAATATACATGTCACATGTGTCTGTAATTTGATGCACAAATAAATATTGCTTTAAATACATATTCTGTAGCAATGGTAAAAAATAGACATTTGACTTTAAGGGTATTTTTTGATGCAGAGATGAAAATGCCTTGTTTCAGAGAAAGTGTCATTTGTAGTATATCAACTCGCTAAGAAATGCATGCCACATAAAAAATATTTCACAGGTGTCGGTCTGACATCTCAGGAGAGGCTATGCAACTCTTTCATAATTTTGCACCATGCAAACGATGCTTGTGAATGGCTGAGGAAAAAAAAAACTAAATTTAGATGAGCTTCACGAATCATCCAGAAATACCTTTAAATATTTGAGAGCTGCATTACTCATCTAAGGTACATTCAGTGACATTCACTCAATAAACCCTCTAGATGAAAATAGTAGTCCGTTCGTAAATTGTAAATGAACTGCTTTCCTTTTAAAACTAAAATACTATCATTGTCTCCATACATACAAAACAAGAACATGTTAGCATCTGGCAGTTGTAGTAAAAAAAAAAAGAAGACATTTAATTCAGTTTTTTTTTGGTCGAACATCTAAGCAGTAAAGACCATGTGATTAAATACTAATTAGCCACAGGAAAACAGTGCCCTGATTGATTCAGGCCTCTGAATCTTTCAGCACAGCCTCTGACATTTTTGTTCAGTAACAAACAGAAATTATACAGTTCAACCACACACACGTACACGTTTACATATGCTAAGACAGTATATTGAGGGATGAATGACGAGTAGAAATAAGAATAAGTAAAGAAAGAAAACAAACATCAAATTGTAGCCACAAACTGCTGCTGATTAGTGCTGATCCATTAAACCCGTCGGTGACTTGCCCTCAATTAAACATTAAGGGGGCGACTGTATAATTTTAATTTCTTCACATTGAATAAGATGTCTTATGTGTTGGGAATTTTCACACAGGCACAGGCCAAACAAAAAAAAACGACAAGTCAACAATTAATGTGGCTTCTACAGAGAATATGTCATACTTTTCTTTTGTTTCTGCCTCCTAAAAATCACTTTTGTTTGTGGCAATCCTCATTTGTAAGTCATTTTAACTTGAAGTGTTTGCTAAATGAATAAATGTTAATGTTTTGACTGGAAATGTCAATAGTGCACTTGATCCTTCATCAGACATGAATCATGAGAAGCCATTCAGTCAGAACTTGTACTCAATTTTTCTCTCATCTTCAAATTCACCACCATTCAGCTGGACTCGTCAGTGACAGCACCATCTAGGAACGTGTTTCGAAAAGGGATCGTAAGCCAATGAAGAGTGTAAAGACCATTGGTGCAAATAGATTTCTATGATCTGTTTATGCTTACACTGCAAATACCACCTGGCCATTTTCCTGATGCTCTTCAACAAGGATTGCAAACTTTTTATTACCCCAAATATGATGATATTTATTTCAATCACGACAACTCTCATAATAGTTTTACCATGTTAATGGAAAGTGACAATGTTATTGCATTTGGTTTTAGCAGACTAGATTTCCTATGATTCTGCTGCCAATAACTTAAGGCACACATCAATCCTGTCGCCGATCTAGACAGGTGGAGCTGGAGGAGGTAGAGGATTTCAGAGATATTCATCTCCAAATGGTGATCCATTTACAAAGCACTCTCTTCCAAAAATATAAAAGGTATTCTAGGATATTCTCAAAAAAAAAAAAAAGATTTTTATTATGACAGCAACCAAAAATATAAAAGGTATTCTAGGAAAAAAAAAAAAAAAAAAAAAAGATTTTTATTATGACAACAAGATGAACTTATATTGTCAACTAAAAGCAAATTGTTAACATTTTTTTGTTATCCGTTAAAACAATTAACTTTTGCCTCATCTGCTGTAACGGACAGCGTGACAACGGAGTTGAGGATCCACTTGCAGGCTTCATTAAAAGAGCGTAGTCAAAACAGGCAGGGTCAAACACCGGCGAACAGCAACATTCAAGGCAAAACAAAATGGTAATCCAGTAAACAGGCAATGGTCAGGGCAGGCAGCAAACGATCACGAAAAAACAATGAAACCATCCAGGGATCTAAAACTAGGCTAGGCAAGGTAGCAAGGAACAAGACAGGTAAAACAAGGAACACAGAATGGCTAGAAATGGTCTGCATACAACGGAAACACAATACTCAGCAAAGTGTGTGTTCTTCTTCTTCTTCGTTGGTGTTTATTGGCGGTTGACCAGCAAAGTGTGTGAGAAAGAGTGCTGCTTAAGTAGTTCCACTGATTGAAAACAGGTGTGTGAGTAATCAGTTCCAGGGCAGAGGGTTATGGAAAATGGAGTCCGGGGTGAAAAGGTGATGGAGACCTCTGGTGGTGAGTGGGAGGAACAGCAGGGACCATATTTATGATACCTGCATCTTAAAAGTGCCTCGCCTTTTTTTTTTTTTGGCTTTGACTTCTGTAAGAAATCAGCTTTAACAAAATTTCATTATTTCAAAATTTTTTCATTGAGAAAGATTTAACAAAATCTTTCATCTTTCACCCTTTTTGGGGTTTGTATCTCTTCTTTTTAAGATATACAGGTACTTATTAAACTTGTGCTACTCTCAGGAATAGACACTCAGTAGTGGGTGTTTTTTATTCTCTCTTTATATGGTATGTAGGTTGATTTTACAGCTAGGCTATTCAATTAAAATGTAAAAAATAGGGTATTTAAACAAATGGACAAATGTTCTCAACTTTGTGTGGAGACTGGAAACACTGTAAAGGTTATAACCAAATCATAAGATCTTTTCATCATGCCTTTGATCAAGCCCTGATGGTTTTGGATATTTTGGTCAGCTTTGTATGTTATATCAAACTTTTCTTCAGAGACTATGATTGAAATGGTTCCCTTAAAAACAAAATAAAATAAAATAATATAAGATTTAATTTAAAGTAATTTAATTTAATGTAGTGCATTTTGCCATAGCATATAGCTTAATGCTTTGCAATAATCAAAATAATCTCCTTATTAATGACATACCAAGTGTTTACCAATAAACCAAACTGAAACTGTGATACGAGCTGAATCATGAGAAATATAAACCTTTAGACACTAGCTTTGGCTGGCTAAGTCCTTATCTAGTTGGTTGTCTACTTACATTAAGGCTGTCAAGACTGCTAGAGTACATGAAACATCATTAAATCCCTGCTGCTGAACTTCAGCTTTGTGGAATTTGAGAAGTACATCTCTTTTATTTCAGATTTTTCAAACATAACTTAATCTTGATATGTAGCCTTTTTTGGCAGTAAAATTTTATATTCATGATAATACTTATAAGTCATTTGCCCCACTGGAAATAGCTTATTTAGGCAAATTTAGTAGTATTTTGGTATTATATGCTTACAGAAAATTAGCATAATGTGCATAGTAGACATACTATTCTGCATAAATAGTAGTATGTGTTTTGTGTAATATGGTCATATGTTATTCTGAACATAGTCTATCTTTCCTTTCCTTTCAGATCCTGGTGCATGTGGGCTTTCTGACAGAGGAATCCGGTGATGTGTTCAGTCCTAAAGTGTTGAAGGGTGGCCCGCTCGGAGAGATGGTCCAATGGGCAGACATCCTCACCACCCTTCATGTGCTGGGTCATAACCTCAAGATATCACTCTCAGTCAAAGAACTGCAAGGGTGAGTCTCGTGATAAGGCTCTTGCCTCATTAATATTCATAAGAAAAACCTTCGCCTTGGTACTATTTATGATCTGATGACCTGTACAGATGTGCTTCAGTTGCATTGTTTTGACGGTGACATTGAAATGTGCTCAGATATACTATGCATCACGTATTATTAAAGGAGCTGTATGCAGAATTCAGAAACCCTTATTATTAGTGACACCGGTGGTCATTAAGTGAACTGCGGCCAGCAACTTTTTTTTGCTTTTGCTTGTGTTTGCGTGTTTATTGTGTTTTATGACCTACTATACTTTGCATGTTTTATTTTATTTGAATTTATTTTTAGTCATTTTAGTCTTACCTTGCCTAAGGCACCAACTGATCCAGAAACAACAAGTGCCACGTTAAATTCCTGCATACAGTACAAGGAGTGTATTTCAGCACTATGGACAGCTCCCATATACACACAACAGTCTGGCTGCGTTTGCTCTAACTATATGCACAATATCTCTGAAAGATTTTAAAGCACTTCATTTGTACTTTTTTTGGATGCTGTAGTTTTTATTAGAGCTGAAGAGAAGGCTATTATGAAATACCCTAGGGGTGACACCTGCTTGAATGTGAGCATGTAATCAGTCTAGCTTTGTCAAATTGTTGGCAAGAAGGTGGTAAGTGTACAAAGTAAACCGTGGAAACATGTATATGAGCTTGGAACCGAATAAATGTCCTAGTGAAGGCGTTGATAAATTGCAGGAAGGAAAATGGCAACATCGAACATTGAACTTTACTATCTCTGGATGCTCCTTGTGAATTTAAATTAGTTGAAAAACTGGAGCACCATGACAACAGGTTTCTGTCTCGCTTCAGGCTGGACAACAACCAGTTTGACCTTCTCCCAGGAAAAGCTGAACACTTATACACACAACAGTCTGGCTGCGTTTGCTCTAACTATATGCACAATATCTCTGAAAGATTTTAAAGCACTTCATTTGTACTTTTTTTGGATGCTGTAGTTTTTATTAGAGCTGAAGAGAAGGCTATTATGAAATACCCTAGGGGTGACACCTGCTTGAATGTGAGCATGTAATCAGTCTAGCTTTGTCAAATTGTTGGCAAGAAGGTGGTAAGTGTACAAAGTAAACCGTGGAAACATGTATATGAGCTTGGAACCGAATAAATGTCCTAGTGAAGGCGTTGATAAATTGCAGGAAGAAAAATGGCAACATCGAACATTGAACTTTACTATCTCTGGATGCTCCTTGTGAATTTAAATTAGTTGAAAAACTGGAGCACCATGACAACAGGTTTCTGTCTCGCTTCAGGCTGGACAACAACCAGTTTGACCTTCTCCCAGGAAAAGCTGAACACTTTTTTTCTTTTTATACAACATAGAATTGTGAACATTTACATAGAAAGCATACCAAAAAACAGTGCTGATAAAACAACAACTTAGATAAGTAAGAGATAATGTACAGCCACCATCATAAAATACAAACTCGAAGGGAAATTGGGATCTTGTATCAGCGTGAATGGGTTTGTTTTGCTATTTTACTAATGATATCAGTACATCAGTAGACTATACAGACTATATCAGTGTTGTAAAGTATTGGAGTAAATCTAATTAGTTATTGCAACTATATATAATTACTTTTACTCTGTACTTGACGACAATTTTTGAATATGTATTGTATATGTACTCTTTACTCCAATATATTTGTGATGTGTAATGCAGTTTATTGTTACATTTTGCATGCCACCTGACTTTTTCTGCATCAGTTTATTTCTGCTACAAAAGAAGTGATATTGCCATCTACAGCACATTGAAGGTGCTATATCTTGTGCTTTTTGCCCTCACTCACCCAAACTTGTCAACAAGTTTCATCCACAAACAGTTATGAATATGAAATAAGTTATTGATTAATCTTCATGCTTAATTTTACATAGAAAGCATACCAAAAAACAGTGCTGATAAAACAACAACTTAGATAAGTAAGAGATAATGTACAGCCACCATCATAAAATACAAACTCGAAGGGAAATTGGGATCTTGTATCAGCGTGAATGGGTTTGTTTTGCTATTTTACTAATGATATCAGTACATCAGTAGACTATACAGACTATATCAGTGTTGTAAAGTATTGGAGTAAATCTAATTAGTTATTGCAACTATATATAATTACTTTTACTCTGTACTTGACGACAATTTTTGAATATGTATTGTATATGTACTCTTTACTCCAATATATTTGTGATGTGTAATGCAGTTTATTGTTACATTTTGCATGCCACCTGACTTTTTCTGCATCAGTTTATTTCTGCTACAAAAGAAGTGATATTGCCATCTACAGCACATTGAAGGTGCTATATCTTGTGCTTTTTGCCCTCACTCACCCAAACTTGTCAACAAGTTTCATCCACAAACAGTTATGAATATGAAATAAGTTATTGATTAATCTTCATGCTTAATGCTAAAATAAAATCTTCATGTTCATGCTAAGAATAGTTTGACTATTTTAAAGTCAGGCTATTCGCTTATTTCATATTCTAGATTGTCATAATTTTGACAAATGCTTTCATTTGTCACACTTCTGACACGACTAGATCAGAAATTTGAATATGGATATGCGAGGTCACAGAGCCCAAACAAATGGGATCACCAATCATCATCATTTCTCACAGAGGCAAAGTTAAAGACAACTTTATAATGTGAATTCACAATAAATGTATGTGATTTAGCATCATTCTGCTGTTCAGTCACAGTCATTTGTAGGAAAATGACCCAGCATGCATTGATTTCACAGCAAATGTCTGACTACAGTAATATATTGTAAATAATACTCTTTAACCCTGTAAATTCCTGGCAATTTTTTACAGTGTAGTTTTATCTCTGAACCTATATTCAGTACAAGTAAAATACTTAAGTACTGTTAAAATCAGATACTCTAGCCCCCGGTTTCACAGACAAGGCGTAAGCTAGTCCCAGACTAAAATGCACGTTTGAGCTATCTCAACTGAAAATATCTTGCTCTGACATATCTTAAAATATGTCAGTGTCATTGTTCTGTGTCAAGATGCACACCTGTAATGTTTTCTTCTAAGGCATTTTTGTAAAAGTTGCTTAAATATCTTAATTTAACTAAGGTCTAGTCCTGGCTTAAGTTAAGCCCCGTTTATAAAACCGGGCCTACGAGTTTTACTCAAGTCGAATTGGAATGGGTGACTTGTAACTTGTAATGGAATCATTTTCATTGTACTTTTATTCAAATATGGATTTCAGGTACTCTTTACACCTCTGGACTATTATCTAGTTTTGTTGTTGTTTTTGCCGGGTGTTTGTTTTTTGTTTTTTTTGTGGACTGATAATGTGGACTAACAATTTATCTGTTAATGCTCTAATGTCAAGAATAT